TAATCCCGTGGGATTAAATAAATTTAAACATTTTTAAAAGAGTTCCTCTTTCCAATGCTTTGTTTTAATTGCACAGGTCTGTGATGGGTTACGTTTAAATCCTAGGCATCTGCAGTATTTAGAGTTATGTTCTCGGGCATGAGAACATGCTGTATGAACAATGATTTAGGTTGCAGTTGTAAAGTAGCAGACCACACCGATACTTGCCCCTAGTTTTGTGACCACTCAGGCCTCAGACTAACCATCATTTATCAAAGGGGGTCTTGATCATGCAATCATGAGCCATTCAGGATGCTCACTGCCAACTTGTTTCCATGTTTGCTGACAAATGTCTCTGCTTTAGTATGTCAGTGTGCCCTTCTTTCTCTGCAGAAAGACAGATACCCAGTAAAATTCATAAGTGCCTATGACACTCTTTAGAACTCTGTTGTCCATCCGCAGAACAAATGCTAGTGCTTGCCCCAGATTAATTTACCTGTTGGAAAAAGGTACATGAATTTGGCACAAATACCGTTCGTCATTTGCGGTGCAGAGGAGCAGTGAGGCCAGAATATCCACTGTGTCCTCAGCGCAGTTTAGTAATCCTAAAACTTATATCAAAGCGCTAAAGGTGTAACTAATATGAAACTTAGTATAACCAAGTGATATAGTGAAATTTTAGGTTTAGGCGGTCTAGCTCTAAAACAAGTGATATGTCTTACATAGAATCATAAAAAAATATATAAAATAAAAATAAAATTAATAGTACAATAGTGCTGTGGAAAAACAAAAAATAATTGGGACAATAAAAAATTTCAACCACTGTGTAAAGACCTCGAATAGGTCACAATATATAAACGATCCGTGCAAAAAATATATATTATTTATTCCAATATCCCTATTGGAAAATATACACCCACCCCGGCCCTGGGTGGGTGTATATTTTCCAATAGGGATACATGTTCCAGTGACAACTGTCTAAAAAGGGGATCCCCCATCACTTTGGAGAGTAGTTTTCAGGAGTTCCCCCAGTGCTGGTGCCGGTTAATGATCCAGCGGAGACGTCCACGCTCCCAGCTGCGTTCATTCACCTTCACTGTGTCTCTCCTCTTCTCCCCACCGAAGATCTCTACTGCGCATGCACCCGCTCCATCATCCTGAACGGGCCATCCAGAAGCTTCAGATCTTCAGCTGGGAGCGAGCGGTAAAGACACAGGAGTTTCGTTTGACACTGCGCCTGAGACGATCCAGCTTTACTTCTGGGATACAGCCAGCGCTACAAGGGAGAAAAACCAAACACTCACCTTGCAGGGACTGAGAGTAAAAACAACTGGGTCCAAGTTTGAAAGCACGATTGCAGGCTCAAGTGTCACTAACTAAAAGCCTTCGATCCAACTCCATTTGGTGAGTACCCACCCAAGGGGGGCTGTCGGACCACCGCTACGAAATATATACCACCATCAATATATATCATATATCACGTTTATTTTTCGTTGACCAATTTATTCCAATTTTCTAATATATATTTTTTGCACGGATCGTTTATATATTGTGACCTATTCGAGGTCTTTACACAGTGGTTGAAATTTTTTATTTTTCATATTAGTTACACCTTTAGCGCTTTGATATATATTTTTCTCGACTGTTGATAGGATTCTTCTATCCTCTTTTTAGAGCTGCTTTAGGTCTTAATTTATTATACATTTCCACTTTAGTCTCCTTTCCAGAAGCGCGGATTATCTATTTCTAATCCTAAAACTTATACAGTTACAGATCCAGCATTAGTGAGCTCTCTTCCTGGCCACTGCACCTGTCATATAGACAGGCACAGTGGCCAAGAACGCATACTGTGGGTGGGCGGAGCCTAGAGATGTCAAGGTACTAGTTTCCAGTCAGGTCTGCTCTGTTGCTGGATGACAACAGACAGTGAATAGATTCCAGCTGGCTGACTATTGGTTGTGGAATCAACTGCCTTCTGTCAAGCGGTAGCACAGTAGACCTGATGGGAAACTAGGCTCCCAGAGTTCCCCATCACTGGTTGCTAAGATGCCGTTGGCAACACAGATGATAGCCGCTTAGCAACCAATGATGTGGCTGAGTAGGCAGAGCCTGATGGGCATGCTGAGGGACTAGTTCCTCATCAGGTCCATTCTGCTGCTGATTGACAGCAGGCAGTGGACAGATTTCATATCGAATAGCAGGCTGGCTATTTACTATGGAATCTGCCCCCTGCCTTGCTGTCAGTCACAAGGGAGACAGACCTGATGATGTCAGACAGAATCCCCTGCTCTTTTGTTCAGAATAATTTGCCAGCTTGGGCATCTCCTGGTCAGCAGTTGAATGGAGCTGGTTATGCATTGGTTGCAAGGAGACAGGTGGCCTGGTGTCCTAGTGAACAAAGAATGGGAAGCTGTCATACTGATGACAGTTTTTCAGCACATACATCCCCCACTCTGATTACTGGCATCTCTCTGTATGCCAAATCAGATCTGGTCTTAATTATTGTGTTTTCTAATATGTAAATTTTAGGTAATTCTTTTTGAATCTGTTGCAACCATAACGATAGTATCTTTAAGTGGCGCAATTAAGAACTACCTGAATCTGTTGTAACAGTAAAGCTCCCAAAACTGGCGACAGAACTGAGCATTGCCTATTATATATATATATATATATATATATTATTCATTTTCTATATTTCTTTAGAAAGAATATACACATTTTGTTAGTGCTTTAGGAAACACATTTTCATTTTATATCTCACAGATGGAGGTGACACTTAGGTCATCTGTGTCCGCCAATCTGTGTCCGCCAATCTGTAATTAGACAATACACCTTGTAACCTGCAGCGCATAATGTGACAAGAATAAGGCAGGCATTATAAATTGATCTTTAACTTGTAAGCCAAATGAATGTCTACTCCTGCCAAAAATACTGTAACTACTCTTTAAATAAGTGGTTTTGAGTCTATAGTGTAACACTTTGGGTATATATGCAAACTAACAAAAAGCAACACAAAAATATGCAGTATATGTTGTTAACTATTAAATGGTTACATTCAATATTAAAGGAAAACAATACTGTATACTAAAAGCAAACCGCTGTTCATTTTTAGCAAGTGCACAATTTGGGGCACATTTGGTTCTAATGCACTCTAGCATCAAAAATGGAGCAGTCAGATCCATAAAATGAAGTGTTGAATGTATCTGAACACAAACAATTATTTTTTTATGGGTCGACTTGATGTTTAGAACCGTTTACATAGGAAACTTTTAGCTCCAATTACCAAATCAAGAAAAAATTGCATTCAAGATCTGTTTTAGTGTTTTAAACTTAGATGTAAAAGCAAGACATTTTGTAGAATATTTCTTTATTATTTTTCCAATATATACACAGTATAAACATACAAACATTATTGTTAAGAAACCAGCATATAATATTCCGCTAGTATTAAAACCATTCTTCCCTTTAGGGTCTCAGCGAAGCATAAAACAAATAAGAAACACAGGAGGAAAAAAAAAAAAAAAAACAAACAAATACCTTCCCAACCCAAAAGAAGAAAAAACAAACAAAACAAAAACTCCAGCTCTCCTCTCCCCTCCCATAATGGCAGTACGGCTGTGCCTCTTATTCTCTATGTGCATATAGTAACACCATCAAATTTTATCCATGGGTTACATGTCACCAGAAATTGTGGGTACCTATCCTGTGATCGTACCAATAATTCTTCCACGCTTCTCAAAAAGTTCATTTCTTTAACCCAACCTTTAATTTGCAGCGTATCGTCAGACCTGCAATATCTAGTTACTAGCATTCTTGCGGCAAATTAAAAAAAAAGAAAAAATTGGAATAGGCCTTTCTTGATGGGTTACCGCTCCTGGTATGGAAAATTCACCCTGAGCCAGACTCGGGAATACCGCCAGGCAGGTTAATTGGATCTGGTATAATAGTCAATAGCGCAGTCTCAGGTGTAAGAGATCCCTGCACCTTAACAAAAATGTACTCCTATCTTATAAACAATTTCCCAAAAAGTTTGGATCTCTTGGCAGGACCATCATATATGTAGAATAGTGCCTCTCTCTACTCCGCATCTCCAACATCGGGGTCCTAATGTAGGTGGCCGGCGACTGCCCACAGAATCCCACTCAGAGTGCCGCCCACCGGAGCGGCAGCGACACGATGCTCCTCTTCGCCGACCATGTCCTTCAGTGCCGGAGAGCAGCGCTGGTCCGGCGGGAGGAGTTCCAGATGGGGTCCTAATTTAGGTCCCTACCTGGAGCTCCTCCCACCGGACCAGCGCTGACTCGTCGCTGCTCTCCCGCACAGTGAGTGAGGGGAAGGGGGGCTCGCTATTGAAGCAGGGACTAATTGTAAATCTATGGTCTCCAGTGTATAAGCAGTGTGTACCCTATATGTAGTATGATCCATAGTACATAACATGTAGTTGTACTATGGATCATTTAAAGTCACCTGTCCCTTTAAATAAATAAAAAAAGTATCGGTAATTGGTATCGGCAAGTACATGAGGGGGAAGTACTTGTACTTGGTCCTGAAAAAGTGGTATCGGGACATCCCTTGTCTATAGTGTTCCAAATTGTATTGTTTTATATTTGTGTCTTTTATTTGGTCTGCACCAATCAAAGGCCAGTATTAACCATCCAGGAACATGATCCACCTGTTATCACCTTAGTTGATAGTAGTAGTGTTTTCTGAGCACGTGAAACTGATTGCAAACAGCTCAGTCTGCGAGGGAAAGTGTTCACCTACAAAATACTATCGGCAGAGAAACAAGCGCACATTTTGGATCACGCTGGTATATAAAGGTTGTTGACATAGATGTGAATATGTGCAAAAGCAAGTGAATATTTGTACCTTTTCTCTTCGTGAATCAGGCCAAAAAGTAATCTGCATAACTACATAATTTAAACCCAAATCAATGGGGCCCTGTCCAGTGTTTGTGCTTCAGCAGTGGTAATGTGTTCAGCCTTAAATGAACACCTTGAAAAATAAGACACTTGCCCGTTTCAACATATATTTATATTAACAGGAACAAAAACATGTTTAAAATTCATGAACAGTCTTCAGTTTCTAGATAGCAATTATCTGTAGCACATCAAGTGCATCTAACGCTTATTGAAATATGCTCACCCTTCATTTAATCAGAACACTTGAGACATACAGCTCTGTATTCCATGGCACATCAGAAAAACTCTTTTCCCCCTCTTGGATCCTGTATGAAGAGCTTCCACTAATTTGGGTTATTAACACAAAAAGATCTTTTAAAGATTAGGTATTTGAATTTCTTTTAGGAATAACAGTTATGCAAGATGTGACAAATTCCAAACAACATTCTTCATTTCACATTCAAAGTTTGAATGTTATTGCTTTCGAGGTGGTTTCAATATAGTTTGCAGTTTTCATATTTGAACAGTCTCTCGGTGCGCTTCACTCGCTTTCGCTGTCTGACTCGAGAGAAGACTTGTCTTCATTTTCCATGTCTCCTTCCTCTGTATCGTCTTTAGCTGAAAGATCTTTTTCGCTTTTAGGAAGTAAATCGCTGACAGAACATTTGCGCATTTTAATATTTGGCAGCTTCTTCAGATCCAAATTCCATTCTCTGAAAAGTGCAGCAAAAAGGAATAATAGTGAATGGGAAAAAAAAAAAAAAAAGTTTGTTAATTTATCAGAGCTGCCCCGAGGAATTCCAGAAAATGGTTCATCAATCAAACATACCTTCAGTGCCTAAAATTGTACAACTGTACTGTGCAGTCATTTATAAATCATGTAAAGCACAAGTGCATACGCGTATCTCCATTACTGAAATGTACCTTGTGTACTGGAAAATAAATGGTAATACTTTACTGTCATAGACAAGACTGAGAAAAGTATAGTTCAGCTTGCGTACAAATACTAAAGCTGGCCATAAGCAGTAAGATTTTTGTTTTTGATTAGATCTGCCAGATCAACAAATTTTATCACCAACCATTCCATTTGAATACGTACAGGTATACAGCTGTCAGTTGATTCAGCAGATAAAGCCTGTAACACTGTGTGGACACAGTTTAATAAATGGTGAATCCAGTAGGTGAACGATCGATAAAGAATTGCAAATAACAACAGCAACATTTCAGTTTTAATAGTGTTAGACAACTGAAGGAAGAACCGTCACTGGCAACTATTGGCTGGTGCTGCAGACAACCAAATATAGCCACTAACAGTACCCAGCTGATAACCCAGCTGTTTAAAGTTGCAGGTCAAAGGGCTTATTTAATCAAACTAGAGGTGCCAGAAGACCAGCCGTTTCTGCTATAAAGGGTATCAGGAGCGGCACAGTGGTCACTTCTACATACATATATATAATTTATTTATATAATTTAGGTTTTAAAGTGCTTGGAGGTCTTCAAAAATTGTTTGTAATCATTTACATTCATCCAGTGGTTTGAAAAGTCAAGAATGAGCTGCTAATTTGTACTGTAAGAGGAATCAATATACTGGAGTAATCAATAATATCTTTAACCAACAACAACACTATCACATGAAAATGCCATATTTTACGAGAAAAATAATAGAAGCTTCTACTAATTATGTAACTAAATGGAGCTATAGTCCATATTTTTAAACATCAGTTTTACAGCAGTATGTGCTAAATGACCTCAGCTTGCAAGTGGAAGATTAATTTCGTGGAAGATTAATTTCATGGCAGAAGTCTTGTGTATGTATATTTAAAAGTAGTTCTTGAAAAAAGAACAATAACCACCTTTAGATTTCAGTATTCCTTAATCAGTAAAATGTCAGGACCTTTGCTGCATAGCGCAGAAATGATCAACATTACCAGGCAATGTAGTACTGCCTTCCTCTCTTTGCACATCCCTTTCAAAGATCTGTTATGCTGTTTAGTGAACAGTGGGTGTTATCACTGTACAGGACTAAATGAGGAGTCAAATGATGCTTTTTCCCAGTTTACCCAACCATTAATAGATAAATGGATACATTTTCAAGGCAGCAGGGAGAAATACTGACTTCATAAATGAGGGACACAAAGATGTACATAATTCTACTGTTCTGTTAACATCAAAGGTCACATTTAACATTTGCCTTCTGCACAATGCATGCCTGTGCCATATTTTGAAGGACAACAGAGTGATAAACATGCCATCTATGCATGACACACAATCTCAAAAGGTGAATCACTGCACTGTAAATGTTGCGTAATCACATGTATGTGGATGATCTGTACTCTATGCACAAAATGCTAACCCTGGTTTAATACAGGACCCTTTTTAATGTAGGTTCATAGCATTGTAAAACAGTGCAAAGGAAAACTTATAATACAGCTAATGTAACCGTTACTGCACAACTGGCTACATTTCATTCAAGAAATATATTATGGTAGATTTTTAAACACAGAAATGAAGCAAGTTTAATCTGCTGTATATTTAGCATCTCCTGCTTCCTTTCTCCCTTATAAACATGCTAATGACTTTTTAAAAAAAAATATGTTCATCACATTTTAGACCCAATGATGTTATTACTGAGTTGCTGTGCTTTTCTATGTAATGCAAGGAGATTTTGGCTGGTGGGAGAGGTCAGCACCCTGCCTTAGTACTCTTCTCAGGAGCACCCAGCCCTGATGTAAGCAGTGTGCTGGTTCTTGGGAGAAGTTATGCAAAATGGCTTGATTGGTGGATATAAGTGATACAAGTGATACATGTGATACATGTGATGCTGAGTCTCCATGATTGAAACAACTAAAACCATTACATGAAAGGAGCAGGTCAGGGGCAATAAAGGGGAGCAAAGACCTAGAAGATACTAGGTGTACTACAGCCAGTAAATGAGAAGCTCACAGTGTGCAGTGAAATCAGAGTAAGACATTTCAGTACAGGTGAGGAACCTGTACAGCCATGCAAGACTGAACATCAGGCTAGATGTCCTCTTTAGGATAAGATATCCACTAGATACATTATTCAATCTGGACAGGCTATCTGAAATTCATGAAAGATATCAGCAGACCATGAGCTTCAGTTGTACCCACTACATGCTGGTTTGAACACCCTGATATTGCCAGAACTGTCATTGTGTAAGGAAGGTCATGCAGCCGCTTTCATGGAGATCCATTGTAGACCTTATCTCATTTAGCAAAAAGACTAAAATCACCCCTGTTGTTCTTCCCCATTAAACATTGACAGATACATAGTAAAACACAGATGAATAGAACAAAGCTATAAAAATACCTGAACACTTTCAAATGCTTTGAATTCACAATATCTGGTATCTCTGTGAAAAACACATACAAAAGGTTAGTACAACAATTGGGCATTATAGAGTATGTTCTCAAACTGACAGATCAGTCAATAAAGTTGTCAACTTTTTCAATCATCGATTAATCGGCTTCCGATTAGTTGGCCCTGTTCACAGCTCCACACACGCTGCGCACCGCACCTCCTCCCCACCTCACGCTTGCCACTGCCAGACCCGACCGCATCCGCACGCCGCACCTCCTCCCCGCCTCATGCTCACCTCCCACATCTACTATTGGCACAGGGACGCGGGGGAAGAATTAAGGAAGAGCAGGTGTGGGGGGATGACAGCCGCCGATAGACAGTTCAATACAAACTAGTAGTCCCCTCACTGGAGCCATTTTTTAAAATCTATTTTATCCGATTAACCGAACTTAATAATTGGCTAACTAATCGATTTTGAAAATAATCGTTAGCTGCAGCTCTAATCTATATATCGATCTATATGTATATAGATAGATAGATCTATATATATAGATATATATACACATATATACACACACACTTAAACATCAAATTAATTGAATTTACTCAGCTCTCTTAAAACTCTGACCAGAAGAAATGGCTAATGTCTAAAGCACTGGTGCCCAATATGCGGCCTGTTGAGCTCCTCTGTGTGGCTGGGTAAGTGTTGGGCACCAGGCAAACAAAACCATCAACCGGTCCCAGCCCCAGCTATAAAAGTTCCACCCAGTGTATAGCTAGATGTATGCCGTTTGCATGGCACTAGCGCTCCTATACCTATTTCCTATACTCGTCAGTGCCATCTAGTGGTGCTAGTGCTGTACAAAAGGCATTGGGCGGACATTTTATAAATTAACCCCTTTAAGACTTTTTCTTTAATGTCTAAGGATTTTTTAAATTGACAGAGCCTTTTAAAACATGCTGATTACAGTCATGCACACATTTTGACCACACAGGAAATTTGCAGGGAGTCACCATTTTAACTGTGAGATAGGAAGCAGGGCATACCAGGTTTTGCACTGCTAGATGGATAGAATAACCAAGTTCACTTACATTTTTTTTTTGTCAGATTGTATAACAAATGCTAAGCAATGTTATTGGTTGGTGAGATCCTTGTAATAAGGAATATTTATCCAGTTTTAATGAAACTATAATAACCTCAGAGATAGAATCTGGCAAAATCGAAAATGTTTCCATCAGAGAAGAAAAACTCCATTGATGGAAAAACCTGGTCAATCAGTACATTCAGGTGGGCAGTTGACCTCATTTTTCTTCGGCATAACACTTCTGAACCTAGACTAATAATCCAATGGAAGCCTCTTACCTATTTACTTGGCTAAATCCAGGTGGTAATTTTTTTTGGGGGGAAGGGCAGGCTATATATACACTACTGAGGATTTCTTTTATGAATAATCCCTAATAGTTTATTTTTGGTTTGATGGCACCTTGTCAGCACATTGGGCTAGAGACTGCATTATAGGTGGAGAGTGTGTATGGGTGTGATCATATGTGGAACTTTGGGTCTGACACAAGTTTACCAGGATGCCATCAGGAAAGAGGACTGGCAAGGTAAAAACAAACACCTTACAACCCTTTTTTCACTTTTAACTGATTACAGATTTCCTTTAATTTATAAATGTCATTATTATTTATATTTGCTTTCAATTACTAAGCATTTTCCCAGTCTAGAATCTCAAGCAAATTCTATCTAATAATGAATGTAAGGCTAATATTTATTAAAGGAATTTAGAGCTGTAACAAATTAAAACTAGCAGGGATCCCCTGAAGTGAGGCTTTCTAGCAGAAAGCTTACATTAAAGACTCTCTTCTGGGTAATATTGGCTTTTTTAGCTGAAAACAGATGGATGACTAAATTAACAAGATTTCATGAAAGGTCAGGATACGAAAACATACTTTGAGTCATTTTCTTTTTTTTTTTTTTTACTTTTCACACAAAGGAGTCATTCCAATAAAGGGAAATGGACCTACTTTAGCTACAGTATAAAACATTTTCATATAAATGTTTTATGACACTGAGCAATATATACAATTGATTCAACCTGGTTAATTTTAACTTTACCAATCACAAGCTTGTGACATTAGAAGGAAAGATAACAAGTCCTGTACTCCCAGAAGTACTGGGTATTTTATTTTCTACCAGTGGCTGAATGGAGTGGAAAAGAAGCAAATTAAAGGTATGTCCACTAATGTATGTGTGAGTACAAACACTCCATAGCATTAAATGATGATAGTGGAGTGCATGCACTAGCCTGATGGAGGAGAATCTGACAGGAGGCCAAGATCTCGGTTGATTAGGGACAAGCGAGTACAAGACTTAGCCTAGTAAAAAAATAGTATGTTTAACTGCAACTAAGGTGCAGTTACACTTCAGCTAACCTTCCCCACTTCTGGCCTCCACCCAGAATCTTACTGCAGTCTCTACAAAGTAGGGCTGCAACAACTAATCGACATAATCGATGATTGAAAAAGTTGTCAACTTTTTCAATCATCGATTAATCGGCTTCCGATTAGTTGGCCCTGTTCACAGCTCCACACACGTATTTATTTTATTTTATCCGATTAACCGAACGTAATAATCGGTTAACTAATCGATTTTGAAAATAATCGTTAGCTGCAGCCCTACTACAAAGATTAATAATTAAAAAAAAGATAAATAACAGTAATTATTTGTGCGATTTGCTTGGGTTTCAAGCTGCCAATTACAAGACTTGTTAGATCCCTGATCTTTGGAAGGATGACGATTTTTAATTTTATTAAGGTCATTTTTAGTGGATAAACAAACCTACTTTTTAGCAGCCTTATAAAATGTTTTATACAATTTGGATCCAAACAAAGAATGTGCAGATAGGCATCCTTGATGTCCAGTCCAAACAGGCCAGCATATACCCCTGCACGAAGGGAAACAATGACTGAACTGCCAGATTCCATGTGGAATTTTTTTATGTGAAGAAACCTGTCGAGAATCTTCAGGTCCAGAATGGGGCAAACACTTCCAACTGTTTTGGGGACAGTGAATAAGTTTGAGTAGAAAAACCCAGAAACCTCTCCTCTAAGAAAACTACAGGATATTAAAGTAATTTGATCATAAAAAAAAAAAAAAGGTAATCAAATCTGTGTGTCAGATTATCCAACCCAGGGGTAAACTAAACAAGCAATTTGTAATTGCATAAAGTTGATTATGCTATTGGTTAAGGAGACAGTATCACCTCACTGCCTGTAAAAAGGTTAATTTTGCATCAAAGGAAACAGGAAAGACTCCAATAAGGAGATATGTGTCGGTAGCTGAAGGATAATTTCTTCGGCATTAAAATGTTTAAAATAAAAGGAAGAGGGCATTTCCAATTTAAACAGCATGCAAATCTTAATGCAAAAAAACAACCCGGCATCTATGGTCATCATTGATATGACCGTTACACTGCTCTGAAAAAAAGGGAAGAAAAATACATAGTATAAATCATACCCATTCCATATCCACTGTACTGTCTTCTTTCACGCTCTATGGTCTGTTTAATGACCGTCTCCCGGGAGCCATGCTGCCTTGCTTGTCTACCCTTGATGCTGTTCTGCAGTTCAATTTGTTCCAACTCACTATCAAACCGATGTAAGTAGCTGAAAAAGCAGAGAAAAGGACTGTCATGATCACCTTTAATGTTACCAAACAGGCGCATATGGCAACGTACATGTCCTGCTTAGAACAGTAAAATAAAAAAATATAATTTTCAGAACTGTGCAAACTGGAAAACTACTAACACAATGGGGCAATAAAAAGTGCCTGAGACAAGTTTAAGCGAGTCAATTTTTCCACACAGCTTAGAATTTTTTTAAAGCAGATAGGCTGCGCTCTAGTTGAAACAAAGTTCATCTTAGGCACTTCATTAATCCACCCCCCACCCCCAAGGTTCACATAAATAAAAGCAGACCTAAACCAAAATTATGTGGAAGGACCTGAAACTATGATGGTTTGATTTTAAATGGTATACCCAAAAATCTGCACTGCACATAATACAACACCTTAGTCTGATTTAGTTTTTGAATATTTACTTTGAAATTGTGAGTTCATATATTTGTCCTTGTATTTGAAGCTGAGAAACAAAATACTGAATTAGCTACAGAAGCGTGGTGCATACAGTGGTAAATACTACTTTTTTTTTTAACACATTTAGTGCAAAGTGATAATTTCTCTTAAAAGTTCACTTTCTTACTCATTGATACTTACCTTCGAAGCACTGAAAAGGCCAAAGTAACAGGCGCACTGTAAAGTTTAACTGCAAGTTTTGCCTTCCCCTGGATGTCCGGTTTACCAGTACTTTTTTTTTTCCACGTATGTTTACAGATGTCCTGACCCACAGGGTTCTCATTCTATTGAAAAGAAAAGTGCCGTTCCGTGAATCACTTTATGCAAGTACAGGATGCTGTGGTGAGGCCCCCCCAGGGGATGGGCCCATGGCACCCTGCACTTACATGATTTCCTTAGACTTCCATGCTATATCACACCGAGGACATACGGCAGAAAGCAAACACTGCAGGGGGCAGAACCATGGAGGAGGACACCTCTTGGGGCCCCAGTTTAATATACAATGTTGCATTAGTGAAATAAATGAACTTTTGCACGATATTCTAATTATTCGAGTTTCACCTGTATATGTATCTATCTAGACACACACACACAGAGTTAAATTGTAAAAATGCATTCAAGTACCCCAATAATTAACAAAAATGTAGCCTTTTGTGTATCACTCGGCTACAACCTCACGTTTAGTTAGCTAATTTGTGTCGAAGTTATAGTCTATTATGGGGGCAAGCTTGGAGTGGTGGCTACTTTACAACACACATAGGGACCCTGGGGAATGAAAGTATCTACCCTCCAGAAGGAAGGACAGTGTCAGCGTGACAAGCTCTCATTGTAATGAAAGCTGGTCCCGACCAATAGAAAACAGTTGGACGGAGATAGCTGTCACTGCTAGCTCCGCCCAATCATTTACTCCTTTTTTTTCTATTCTGCTCGGTACCGAGCAGAATAGCCGAGCGGCATTCGGCTATTCACTCACTGCTATTTGGCCACTATGAGAATAGGCCGAACAGCAGCGAGTAGCCTGCCGGAGGTTCGGCTCAGCCGATCCAGATGTTGGATCAGCTGAGTCCAACTCACATGCTGAGCATGTTCGGCCGACCCGAACCCAGCCGAAGCAAGCTGATGTACAGCTGATTTCAAACCCTACAAGCGGGGGACAGCAGCGGGCATCCATGCCGACAGTTCCCTGCCTGAAGTGGCTCCAGGCAGGGATGAGAGACTGCAGATCCCGGCGGCCGGCAGCATTGGTGCCGGCGGGGGGTATTTTTGGGCCCGGTATTTTTGATAATAGCGGTCATCAGCGGCTCACAAGCCGCTATTATTTTGAAGGGGACAGTCTGGGGAACAGTTCTGGTATAAAGCTGAACTGTAAATGCCAGGTCCGTACGGCACACTGACATGGCCAGCCGGGAACACTTTTGTTCCGCCGTTTGCCACACGTCCTTGGCAGGGAAAGGGTTAAGCAGAGTGAATGGTGGAGGGGGAACCTAAAAAAAATTATGGAAAATAATAGGTAAAATGGAAAATATATGAAAACCCAAAAATTACATATACGGTATGATACAGTCTGTCACTAGCATCAATACAACAATTATTTTCTTTTTTTGATTCCCCCCGTAACATTTATGAGCTGTTGATCCTGCCAGTAGATGTTTTTCCATTTCCTGCAATAGGGTCCCAGCACTGTTTTTTAGGCACTAAAATTACACAGCACAATTGTCACCCTGTGGATAGGTAAGATTTACATGCCGTTTTAATTGGATTTTAGCAACAAACAAGTCAGAGCCTAGCTGCAGCTAACACTTTTTAAGCAGTTACAGCAACAGCATATTTTTTTTCTTTTGGAAAAAATTGGATTTTGTACTCACCGTAAAGTCCTTTTCTCTCCGTTCATTAAAGAACACAGGGAGCAGATTGTTATCATGTACCGTAGGGCATATCGCCACCTGCAGGAGAAGGACGCTAGGCACAAAACAAAAGACAGCCCAGCGGCGACCCCTGCTGGTGGTCAAAACCCCCACCTGCTGACAAGTCTCCAGTAAGTAACAAGCAGTTAGAGGAGTATACACCCACAAAAAAGGGCGGGACCTGTGTCCTTCAAAGAACGGAGAGAAAAGGATTTTACGGTGAGTACAAAATCCTATTTTCTCTCCCGTTCATTAAAGGACACAGGGAACAGATCATAGATCATGTGCCGTAGGGACGTCACCAAGCAGTAACACACAGGAGGGATGGGCAAAACACCAAAATTCCCAAAAGACCCCACTAAGGGGCCGCCTGCAACACTTTGCGTCCCAAACCAGCATCCGCCGATGCCAAAACCTCCACCTTATAAAACTTGACAAAGGTGTAAACAGAAGACCAAGTAGCGGCCTTACAAACCTGAGAAACAGAAGCACCATGGCAAAAGACCCAAGATGCCCCAACAGCCCTAGTGGAATGGGCAGTGACAGGAAAAGGAGGCTTGCGCCCCTTAATGGCATACGCCTGAATAACAATGTGACGAATCCACTTAGAAATGGTAGCCGCCGACGCGGCCCGGCCCTTACGAGGGGCTTCCGTAAGCACGAGCAAGGAATCTGACTCACAGAAGGAAGCCGTAGTCTCCAAATAAACAAGGAGAGCGCAAACCACATACAAACAGTGCAGCACTCTCTCCTTCCTATGAACCGGTTTCGGGCACAGAGAGTGCAAGACAATGTCCTCATTCAGATGAAACGCCGACACAACCTTAGGCATTAAGGCCGGCCGTGGACGCAGAACAGCCTTGTCCCTATAAAGAACAAGCAACGGCGACTCGCAGGACAAGGCTGCCAACTCAGAGACCCTGCGAACGAAAGTGATGGCAACCAAAAAGGCCACTTTTTGGGACAAAGTCAGAAGCAGAATCTCCCTCGAAGGAAGATTCCTGCAAAACCGAAAGCACCAAATTCAGATCCCCCGGCGCCAAAGGCGATGGGACAGGAGGAGCAATACGCGTAACCCCCTGAACAAAAGTGCGAAACAAGCCATTAGACGCCAAGGGCCGCTGGAAAAGCACAGTCAATGCAGAAATTTGACCCTTCACCGTGCTCAAAGCCAATCCTTGATTCACTCCGCGCTGCAGAAACGCAAAAATTCTGCCGATTGAGAACAAACGTGGAGGCGGAGCACCGGCTGCACACCTGTCAAAGTGGGCCCACCACGTGCGATGGCATATCTTCCTAGAGATAGCTTTGCGCGCCCTGAGCATCGTGGAAATTACCGCACCCGACAACCAACGGTCCTTCAAGATCTGGCTCTTAACAGCCAGGCCGTCAAAGCCAGCAACATCCCCGTCCCACACATACGCCAAGTCCGGCTAGGCGGACGCTCACGCGCATGTGCATAGCTCGGCTTTTCTGCAGAAAGACGTGCCGCATGGCGCACCGGAAGTGACGCGCATACTGTGCAAGTCTCAAGAGAAAACAGCGCACAGGAAGTGATGCAGCTGATTGGTTCACTTCCCTATTTAAACCTGACCTGCACGACCATTAGTTGCTGGATTATCTTTTCAGCCCCTAATTGTGCCTTGGAATCCCTTTCTGCCTAGTCCTGTCTACTGCTTGATGTCTGGATTTTGACCCGGTTCTGCTCAACAACCTTCTTTGCTAGCTGCCTGTCTTTGACCTCGGACTGTTTATTGAAACCCGTCTCTGCCTAATCCCTCGGTACTGCATCTGCTCTCCTGGTTTGACCTCGGCTTGCCTTGACCCTGATTTCTGGATCACCCTCGGCTAATCTCCTGACACAACCTTCTGCTTGCACGGTTTCAACACCACTGGCACTCGTGCCACTCGTTGTCTGCCTGGCCTCTGTCTCCAACTTCAAAGGCCACAGGACACGAGGTGCAAGAGAAGCCTCCTCACAAATCCAGTCTCCCTACCAGGTACGTGATACAGCGACTGTAAAGAAGGGTGGAACACAGGCCCCTGGGACAGAAGATCTGGAGAATGTCGGTGACGCCTACGGCCGCTATCCGGCGCAGAGGCAGCGGCAACAGGTATAGTGGAGGGAAGGCATAAACCAGACCGTAAAGGTCCTAGGGAGCCACCAGGGCATTCAACACTTCCACCCAAGGATCCTGAGCCCGGGCTATGAATCGTTGGACCTTCCGGTTGAGACGAGACGGCAGAAGGTCCACATCTGGCATCCCCCAGCGAAGACAAAGTTGATGAAAAATTTCCGTGTGCAGGGACCATTCTCCCGGGTCCACTGACTGGTAGTCGGCCTGCCAATTGTCCACCCCCGGAATGTAGACCGCCAGGAGAGGGCCGGAACCCAACTCTCCGCCCAGGACAGAATCCCGGTCACCTCCCGACTTGCGGCCACGCTCTTTGTGTTGCCCTGGTGGTTGACGTATGCCACAGCGGTAGCGTTGTCCGATTGAACACGAACCGACAAGCCCTGAAGACGGGCCGTCCAATGAAGGAGAGATAGGCGAATCGCCCGAAGTTCCAACACATTTAACGCCAGAAGGAACTCCTCCCGCGACCAACGACCCTGCACTGTCCAGGAGCCCGGGACCCCTCCCCAAAGGCTGGCGTCCGTGACCACAGTCCAGCGCAGGGGTAAGAAGGACTTCCCCAACACCAGAGCCGGAGAGCAAAGCCACCATATCAGGGAAACTCTCGCCGCCCGAACTTTCCTGTCCAGAGATAGGGGGGACTTGTCTCAATGTAACAACATGTCCCTCTGAAGAGTCCTGGTGTGGTGCTGCGCATAATGCACTGCCTAGAAGGAGGCCACCATTAGACCCAGGACCTGCATGCAAAAACGAATCGGCGACCACCGGCGAGTCCGCAACAAACGCAGGTTGGAGCGAAGTTTCAGAAGTTTTTCCTGAGGAAGAAAAACTCGGGCCACAAATGTCCAGAACCAGGCCCAGATACACCAGACATGGGGACGGCACCAGACAAGACTTCTTGAACTGTTCAGGATCCATCCGAACTCCTCCAAAGACAGTACCGTGACCCCCAGATCCCCCATCAGAGAAGAATGCGACTCCACCAGCAGAAGATGGTCCAGATATCCCATGATCGAGATGCCCCGGCAACGCAACAACGCCAGAATTGAGGCTAACACTTTGGTGAACACTCGCGGGGCCGACGCCAGGCCCAGGCCGAAGGGCAGCACCACAAACTGGAAGTGCCCCTCCCCCACCGCAAAACGAAGATATCGCTGATGAGAGAGACAAATGGGCACATGAAGGTAGGCATCCTTGATGTCGATGGAGGCCAGCAGGTCCCCCTGATGGAGACACGCCACCACAGACCTGATCGACTCCATCCGAAACCTGCACACCCGCACAAAGGTATTCAACTGTTTGAGGTCCAGGATAGGCCGAACCCCCTCTTTCTTGCGCACAGTAAACAGGTTTGAATAGAACCCCCTGAACCTTTCCAAGAGGTCCTCCACCGCACGGTGAAGCTCCGCCAGTCTTGGAGGGAAAAGTCGCATGTTGGACGAGAAAAACCTGTTCCCGGGGCGAGACAGGAATTCGATCTTGTAACCCGAAGAAACCAGCTCCCGCACCCAGGTTGTTGGAGACGTGAGCCAACCAAAAATCCACAAAGAGTTAAAGACGCCCTCCCACCCTGGAGTCCAGAGATGAGGCCAGACCTTCATCCGGATGGGGGCTTGGCGGCGGGTTTGGCAGACTTAGGCTGCCAGGGACGCTTGGCAGGCTGGGAGGGGGAATGTGTTGAGAACTTACATCCCTTCTCTGAGGAGAGCGGGCGGGTCCCACCTTCTCCGCTCACAAAAGCCGTTTGTGAGCGGAGAAGGTGGGACCAGGCGTGGGTACTGTGACTGGTAGGTCAAGAGTCCCAGGCATATGTACCACTACAGAGTACATGATGTACGTGCAGGCTGCTCTTACAAGAGAGCCGTAGCAGCCAATCCTGCCGTGGCAAAGATCTGCACGCGCTGGCTGGCTAGGCTGGGTTGGACTACAATGATCTAAGGCATCTAGCATGTCACCTTGATGGCAGTTGCTTGAAGATCCGCTGCAAAAAAACTGGAAAAAAAAAAAGAAAAGAAACAACTAAAGAATCGGAACAACAAGCAGGCGGCAGCTTGGCTACCAGCAAGGGCTGCCATCTTTCGTTTGTTTTTTTGCCTAGCATCCTACTCCTGCAGGTGGCGCTAGAACCCCGTGGTTCCAGATCTCTGATCTTCGTCCCCACTGTGTCCTTTAATGAACAGAAAAGAAACTATGCTTCAGAGGGAACTTGAAAAAACAACAACTGCTGTGTTAATGCCACTGACAGACTGCATTACATTTTTAATTTGAGCATTTGGGCCATAGTTTTACTTTAAGCTTAAATGAGAAGATTCTCCATCTCCCACTATTGAAAATATTGGATTGTTTGACTTGAGACAGAAAAAAAAAAAATGAAGTCTGAATTTAAAAAAAAAAGACAATGAATAGAGAAATTGCTTTAAGCAGCTTGAGTGTCAGCATACATTGTTGATGATGTTGCTTTGGATTAGGGCTGTGGAAATTAAAGATTAATTTCTCAATTAATCGTTAAACTTTTTGATCGATTAAAATTATTTTGATCGCTAATGAAAACACTCACCTCTCCGCCGGCTTCCGGGAGTCCCGTCAGCAATCCGGTAGTCGACGTCACCGGACTCCTTCCCCCTTCCCCAAGTGGCTCCGTCGGCTAACGAAGGGAAGGGGGGAGGAGTCCGGTGACGTCTATGTCCGTGATGTCACTGGACTCCTCCCCCTTCCCTTCGTTAGCTGACGGACACCACAGCAATGAAGTAATAAAATGAACTAGGATTACACTAATCCAGCACGTTATTATTCTGAGTTGCCCCACTCAAGCGGCGGCCATATTGAGTGGGCACGTTATTAATCTCGTGCTGGATTAGTGTGATCCTAGTTCATTTTATTACTTCATTGCTGTGGTGTCCGTCAGCTAACATGTGCTGTATGTGTATAGGCCAATGTAGTTGGATCTGTATGTGTGTTAAAATTTTCGTGTTCGATTAATTGAAATTTTTTTTAATCGATCAATTTGGATATGTCTGTTTACATTATTAAAGGATCTAGTGTTTGAATTGGATAAGAGAAAGGGTTGGCTCTTGTTATTGCTGCTTTTGCCATGCATCACCTTGCATTTTTGTAAATGGCCTATGTATTCTGCAATTCACTTTTTATACTCTTTTATACAGGTCGGTGGGAAGCCAATGTCAAATGCATGACAAACACATAATAAACATGTTTCAAATGTACGCCACATCTCCCTGTAAATACCTAAAAGCATGTCGTGTTTGATTTGCTTTAGAGCTCACGAGTGGCCATGTACCAGTAACCCTTTTAAACCTGAAAAACTGTTGGAAATGTTTCAATCTTCAAATGAAAGCACATCAATTTCAATGGAATGTAATTAACCTACCTTTCGATTAGCTCACAGGCTTCCTGTTTGGTGAACTCTGTTTTGTTAGGGTCAAGGTGGCTCTGGAACCACTGCAGTTTCTCACCTTTAAAAAGAAAATATGAATGCCTTTAAAACAGAAATGATGGTTCACCAATTACTCTAGACAAAATTTGCCTTCAACTTTTAACACTGTGGAAAAGATGCATAGCTGTTATGGGCAGTTGCTTAAAGGAGAACTATGGGGTCCATGTTTTTCCCCAGAGTGCTCCTCAGGGTAACGGGAGGACACAAAATAGCGTCCTCCCGTTACCTTAAGCTCAGTATAACGCAAGCTACAGCACGCGGTATACTCAGACGCCGCAGCCGGAGCGGATCCCGACGTAGCTGACGGGATCTGCCCAGCTGCGTGAGTGACAGCTGGCTCTGCCTACCTAGAGGCAGAGCCAGCTGTACCCGCCCCCTCCCCCGTCCGTTCCGCCAGTCAGCGCTGGCAGATCGGAGCGGGGAGAGAGGAATCCAGCCCCTCCCCCTGTCACGGCAGAGAACCGTGACAGGATCGAGAGGCGAGCAAACCCGGTATGTGTTCGCTCACCTCCCGATCTACTGAGCCGACCTGTGACAGTCTCATTGTCACAGGTCGGCTAGAACTACCTCATAGTTCTCCTTTAAATAAAACAAGGAATAACAATATCTTAAAAACTCTTTGGAAGCATTAGGAAAACTGCTTCTTTCAGTTATACGATTACCTGTCTCTGCTGCCAGTTGAATGCTTTGACAGGTGTGTGACAGGTAACGACAAAGCAATAATAAAGAAAGCAGTTCTGTTAACTGCACCATGCCAAGACACAGCTTGTATCCTTCAATAAGAAGGAACACTTTATAATGTAATGATTATGATGGTTCATGTTTTACATAGGTCAGTGGCCAAATATAATAAGTAGGGATGCACCGATATATCGGAGACCGATATATATCGGCCGAAAATAGCTCTTTTGGGGAAATGCCGAAACCGCAAACATTTGCAGATAATGACCCACTTCCCCTGCCCGCCCACAGTACAAGCTCCAAACACTGCCCACCAATCTGAAGCCCCCGCCACCTGCTGTGAGTCTGCCCAGACCCCACTTGGACTGACCTGACTCTTGTGTGAGCGGCGAAAATCATCCTGTCCTGTACAGTGCAGGTATATCAATATTAATACACGGGAATAGATGGCCACATTGAAAATGAGGGATGGAGGCGGGGGATGTCGCATTAGTGGGGTCGGCACATGGCATAGCTATGAATTCCTTCAGGCCCGTTCCTCTAATCCGCAGTTATTTGCTGTGCTTACAATCAGCTCCGGCATAATTTTGCGGCCAGCAGCTGTGTTTTACTTTGTTCCAGCCTGGACGTCTTCTGCACTGCGCATGTAACTCCGCTCCCCCACATCACCCCAATCCCAAGACCCCCCCCAATCACACATCACCATCTCCCGCAGCCTCTGCTCGCTCCGCTTCCCGGTATACCATTTAACGGAGGTAAGATCCTACTGCAGTGACTGAAAACAATACCAAACCTGCTATTGGCTATTTCAAAATTCAATAGCCAATCGCAGGTTGGCTATTGGACCCGCCCACTGCCTGCTGTCAATCAGCAGAGGAGCAGACCTGAATGAGTAAGTTCTCCTTCAGGTCCGCTCCTCTGCTGACTGACAGCAGACAGTGGACGGGTGTGATCCTAGTTCATTTTATTACTTCATTGCTGGTTCACACCTGTTCACACCTAAACTATTATGTCACAGTGTATAAAGCTTATTTGCCAAAAAGTAAAATGTTTGTCTTGCATAATTCTCTTGGTGCACTACTGCACACCTCTATTGTGCCAAATATTTACAAATTCATTCTCGGAACTATTATTTGGTGTAGATTGTGAGACTTTGGGAGTGAAAAATATCACTAGGGAGTATTTTACAAATGGTCCAACAGTTGCAACCTTTGTTTTAAAACTAGGGATGCACCGATACGGATACTAGTATCGGTGCAGATACTGGGCATTTTCACGAGTATGAGTACACGTGAAAATGCCCCTATACTTAGTGACAATACTGGCACTTTAAATATTTAAAACACAAGCAGCTGGCATAAAGTTCTGCGCCTTCTGGGGACCTTGCGGCAGCTTTTTCACAACACCGGCCCGCACATCACCTCCTTCTCGCCGCCTACACAGCCCTGGTCAGACCCCTCCGCCCGCACAACACTGGTGAGACCCGGCAGCCGTCCACACAGCCATAGAGGATTTGTAGTCCTCTATAGCTGATGGTATTCCACATTGCTATATAATGTATTGCTGGGATTTCTTTGCATTCTATAGATGATGGTATTCTGCACTGCTACTGGTCAGACTCTCAGCACAGCCCTGCTGTGCAACACAGAGTATGTAGCTTTATATTATACTACATTGCTGTATAATGTATTGTCGGGATTTGTAGTCCTCTGTCGCTGGTGGTATTCTACATTGTTGTATTATGTTTGTTTTGCCGGGATTTGTAGTACCTCTACAGCTTGGATTCACTGGCGGAACTACCAGGGGCACAGTGTTTATAGCTGGGACCATGCCCTGGCGCTTCACCACTGTTCTAAAATCTGTCACAACACTAAAATAAAGGTATCGGTAACTTGAGTACTTGAGGAAAAGTATCGGCAACCGTACTCGGTCGTAAAAAGATGGTATCGGTGCATCCCTATTTGAAATCAAATTAAATTATTCCTAGAAAGAAAAAAAAAAGCAGGTTTCTGTGCACCGAATAGTTTATCTGGCCCAATATGTCTAAAGAGCCAGTCTTTAGACTTTGTTAACTATACTCATAGAATACATTAATCATCACAGCAAGCAGAAAGTCATTTTACGATGCTCACTTTGCTGTGAAGCACCAATTTTATTCCCTATACTCACAGCAGCATGGATACTGCATACATTTAACCAAATATTTGCATATAAGATGAATAATTACATGTTTATTTTAAAAAGTATAATTTCCCTTCACGTTCATGACAAAACCGATGACTGACATTTTAAAAAGGTGTCCACCGCATACAGTAACATTTAACCACTTGCCGTCCGCCCGTTGTAAAAAAACGGACGGACAGCACTGCAGCATTGGCGGGTTGCCGTCTCCAGACGGCATTTTTTTTCTGCTCGCGGGCACGCACGGGCAGAAAAGCCCCGACCAATGCAAACACCCGTTACCGGGTGTTTCACATATAGACGATCGGCGGCTCCATAGCCCGCCGATCGTCTATATGTGCTCGTTTTTTTCGCAGATCTCTGCTTTATCAGCTTCTTTTGGGGTAAACAGGTGACATTAGGGGTCCTAGAGACCCCTAATGTCTCCATAAAGAGGACCTGTCAGTGTGCCTTTGCTATTATATAGGGGGATTGTTATCCCCCTATATGATAGCAATAACAATAAGTGCAAAAAAAAAATATATAAATTTAAAAAAATTAAAGTAACATATAAAAAAGTAAAATAAAAGTCACGTATAAAAAAAGTGAAAAAAAAACCCCCCAAAATGTTTAACTCCCCCACCCCCACGTTTACGCACCTATAAACGTAAATACGCGCCCGGTGCCCCAGCGCGCAAAAACGACAATTGCGCTACACATGTTACATATCGCCGCGAACGTCGCAGTGAGAGCAATCATTTTAGGGCCATCAATCACTGATAACACTAAACTGATGAGCGGTAACAGCTTTTAAAGCGTCGCCTATGGCCAATTTTGGGTATTATCGTTTTTTGAGGTTTCGCGCGCGCACGCAATTTTAAGGCTTGACATGTTTAGTGTCTTTTTACCCGACGTGACCCCATCTTTTATATTTTACCAAAAAATTGGGTAATAATAAATGTTTTATCATTTAATATAGGGGAAACTGTTTTTTTTTTTAAATTTCGGTAATTTTTCCTTAATATAGTAAAAAAATAAAACCCCCAGTGGTGAATAAATACCACCAAAAGAAAGCTCTATCTGTCCCCAAAAAAGGGTATAAAATTCATTTCAGTACAGCGCTGCATGACGGAATAAATGTCAGTCAAAGTACCGCAGCGCTGAATACTGAAAAATGGCCTGGATGGGAAGGGGGTTTAACACCGCGGATGTCAACTGGTTAAAGTAATGGAACCATGGCAATCAGCATCTACCTTTAACAATTGGATTAAGGTGTCTGTGCTATGTGTATGGATATAAATTCTGGGGTATTTTCCTCATACTCATTAGAACTGAAGAAGTGGCTTGGTCAACTGTAGTCACAGGTACATCAACTCACTCTTTTTCTTTCTTAGGTCCATGTTCAGTGTGTTGTTCACAATGATGGCAAACAGCAGATTGACAACTTTTCTCTATATAAATAGCCTGACTTACATGGGTGATACTAAATACATAAAACAATTCATTTGAAATATCACTATGATACAAATATCCACAATCTTTTCAAGGGGTATTTTAGTATATCTATGTAGAATAAACAATGTATCTTGTTTCATTTTTTTTGCTTTACTCTAAAATCATGCAGGTATAGATGAGACACAATTAATTGCATCACTTTTCAGCAGGAATGAAGATCTATGAACTCTAAGGGTACCAACAAATTTGTCTGTATATGATTTAGTTTGAAAATCCTATTAACTAACCAACAGACAAGTCTGGAACATAAGGTTTTACTCACCGATGATATTTAGTCGTAGGGCTTTTTCAGTTTTTAACCTTTATATGAAAAGAAAAAAAGTTATGAATATCCAAGTATCATTTCTTCAAAAAGAAAATAATGTAGTACATTGTAAGAAACTCAAAATAACAACAAGTAAGGCATGGCAAATACATGAACAAGGTAAGGCGTATGAGCTGCAATATTAATAACCAGTCTGGGTCAACATAACAGCCTACATAAAGGCTGTATCTAGGTAGAAATCACACCTCCCACCCATCCTTATTTTCTGATGCATGCCCTACTCACCTAAGACCTTGCAGGTTCCGAGTGCAAGGACATGGTAATCCAGCATTGTTTATGTGTCTGCACTGGCCAGTCCCGAGACTTGACAGGACACCTCTGTTGGACAGCCAAAAAGGAAGTGTCCACATCATGCACACACAACTGAAGGATCCTTTCAGAAAACTTGGAACTGGAGTGTCATGTAACCATAGATTTTGGTGAGTAAAATGGCATTTACATTTTTTAAGTGCCACAAATTTTTGGAGAGGGTTAGAGGAAACGTTTATGTGTGGGTATCTTAATAAACTGGTCAATATTAATGGGATTTTTTTGCATCTGCAAAACGATCTATACATTAATTACTACAAACTGTTTTGGCATGATTCAGCCCACTCACTCAAAATGATATTTCCCTTTTGAAATAAAAAAAAAAAAGAAGAGATTTAACAGGAAGCCGCTATACTGAGTGATGCAGAGCACTTCCTGTTCATTCACAATTGGAGACACAGTAAAAATGATTATTATTATACAGGATTTATTTATCGCCAACAGTTTGCGCAGCGCTTTACAATATAAGTAAGACATTACAATACAATTCAAGACAAGATGGTAAGGAGGGCCCTACAATCTAAAACGTATAAACTATGTCTTAAATTATTTACAAGCACTCAGCAATCAGTCCTGATCGTTGAGTGCTTGTAACCGCTCTCCATCCTGACTCCTTTGGCTGTTGCAGCAAGCAGAGCGGGTGGTACGGCTGACAGCCGATTCATCCCCTGCACCGCCCTCTCGGCCTTCTGCGACAGCTGTCTCTTCCCCTACACCGCTTTCCATCCTAAGTTATTGCCTGTCACAGGAGACCGAGCAGGGAGTTGCAGGAGGAGAGCTTGGCCTCCTGTGACGCGTTTGACAGTGCTCTCCTCCCCGCCCAGCCTCCTGAAAGTTTCCCACCTAATCGCTGAACGCTACTCTGTGTCAAAGGGGACACAGAGCAGTGCCCAGCAGAGAGGAGGGAAACTATGGATGCACCACAATTTCACATTTTGCACAAAGTACTATTTTCATCCTGCAGTTTTCTATATCCCTAGTGTGCATTTCTGCTGTAGGCAGCAGTATAACCTTAGGTTTTTTTCTTTATTAATAAGCTGCAACCCTCAAGGGGCGATGGAGAAAAAGAGATTTAATATACATAAAGGTAGCTGAATATGTTTCTGAGAGGTATTATTTATTTCATACTGGAACTAAACTTGCAAAAACAAAAATTGCTAGTAGGTACAGTTTGTTTTAGTAAAAGTGGCTTTGTATGTCTAAATACTTCTTTACCTGTTCACTAACGGTTTAATTTTTAATATATAAAGCCTGCAGCACATGCTCAGTGCAGTATATACTCTCAGCCTCTGTAAAATAGGAAGAGCTGCGCTGAGTGGCGTGGGAATGCAACTTCACAGTGCATGCGAGGGATTTGCATCATCAATGTAATAAGGAGTTGCGCTAATATTGCGCAACATAAAAATGTTCAACTACCACCATTTTATTCTATAGGGTCTTGGCATTCAGAAAATATATAATGTTGGGGGGGTTTACGTCATTTTCAGGCCTAAAATGTGGAATATAACATGGGTGCAAAAAATGAAAAAGGGCCTCAGTCATGAAGGGGTTAATGGCCAAAGAAGAAATATAATGTGTTAGCAAGAATTGGAGAAGAGGGGCAGCAGTGATGACAGAGGGCACAAAGCGGTCATTGCTGGAGGAGGGCTAAATCAGAGGTAGGTTTGCCATTATGCGGAAGTATGCAGCAGACTTACACATTATGGCAAGTGTTCCCGCCCACCACCTAAATTCTGCTTTAACCTTTTGACTGCGTCAGAGTAATACAGAAACTGTCAGAAGTTTTACAGTGGTTTATATAGAATTAATTTAATCTACTATTGTTTGACATTTACCCCTTTCAGCTGAGTGTTGACATTCAAAGTAGTAGCATGTTGGTGGCACCATGTACAATGTTCTATACAATATACTCAATTCTGTACACTATGATGTACGTTATATACACTATACCGCACCCATTCCTATATTCAGCTGTGTATTCTGTTCCCTGTAACAAACCCTGTAGAACATATACACCGCCACTGTCTCCGTTGTCCCCTCTTAGTTACCGAACACAGAATTGCAATTTTCACCACAATCAGAGAAGAAAATCACTTACTTTTCCTTTCTGTCCTGTTTATGGCCTTCTCGTGCTAATTGAGCAGCTTTTCTACTGTAAGGATGGATGACTTTCTTGTCTTGTTTACCTTTATTGTGTGGAGCTTTAGGCTGCAAAGCAAAGTACAGGATGATTAAGCATCTTCAGTCAAAAACGATGTGCACACAGTCCTTTGAGCAGAGTATTAACTTCACAGGGTGCTGACTTGCAGAGCAAATTAACCCAAATAAGAGAAGGTTGAAGATTGTTGTATGGCTATCGGTCTTTATAGTTTGCTAGCCTGGAAAAAGTTAAAGGCATTACAAAGGGGGTGCTTCAGGACACTAGTAGACCACCTATCATGACTGTCTTTTCTTATGTTTGCATTTTAGCAATCCACTAACTCGGCCATGCTACAATACAATCAGAATAAAACCACTTGTTGTAATTTTGGAAAATATATTTAAATAATGTGTCTTAAGCTTTCACAAATTAACTAGGAAAAGTGTGGCAACTGCATTAGTCTAGGGGGAGAGGGGGAATTGGGTATACAGGTGTTTTTAGTAAAAGTATGTGAGGGGGGGGGGGGGGGTAAAAGTGCCATGAGCAAAAAAAATGGGTGAAATATGGATCATATGAGACAAGAAGAGAGCAGTAACATGAAAAATCAGCTAAATGGAGGAAAAAAAGGTATCATGATTGTGATGGAGGGAGTCTATAAATGAGTAATGTTACCATAGCTCAGTTACTGTTGAAATTTAACGTAGGCATTATCCCCACCAGAATCTCTAACTTACAACTGATTTCCTTGTAGTGAATATTGCATAGAGGCAATGCCAAATAGTACAGCTTGAAACATTGTCCAGCTAAGTACCATATTTGAATCCAAGTTCAAGGTAGCCTGCCCTGTTCCCCTGTGCACCATATAAGAGTATTAATGTGCCCTATTTAGCAGGATCACCAAAAAGGACAGGGTGGATAGGATGCAAAAGACCCCACAATGACCTAAAAACACAAGGCAGGCAAGGCATCAATAAATTTGTTATAAAAAAAACAGTAAGTGTGTAAGTAAGTGTGGATGGATCATATTTGCTATGACAGCCAAAAATAACATGAGAATACATGGCAAAATGTGGGGGTAAAACGTGAAGCCTATTGCATTAGCAGTGGAAGGCATAAAGCGATAAGATGAACTTAATCACCTCCACTGACATGTGGGCATGACATATGGAAAATTCTGTAGGCAGAACCTTTTCACTTTGGAAATGCAGAGACAAAGGATTTGCTATTTTGATGTACATTCAGAACATGTGCAAGTATAGTAATTGTTAGCATTATCTTTTTGAGGGACAAGGTAGGGGCTAAAAAGATTTTCATCTGGAACTTGGCTAAACAACCAGATCACTTATTTATAATGAAGTCAATTATTTCAATGTGTCTGACCTGTAGTAAAAGGTCCTGAAATCCTGTTTTAAATTGGTTGTGAACCCTTCAGGCAACAAACTTGCTTATGTGTGTATGTGCAAATGTTCTTTTCTTTGGTTTATCTTACTTGTTAGCGGCTAAATTTAGAACATAGAAACATCTCCATAGCAACACATTATGATAGATCCTAATGGATATTCTTTATCTATACAACATGCAAACTTCAGGACAGCTGTTGGAAAATGTTCATAACTGGTTTCTATGACCACAAATTGTGTTTCTGAAACATTTAAATCACAAATAACAATATTTAAAGGAATAGTCTGTAGAAAGAGTCCAGATGTATAAATGATATTTTTTTTTTACAAATGCAAGAGCAGTCAACTAATACAGTATGATAAAACAGGTTACAGATTGCCTGTGCAGCCGAGTTCTACTTCATTAGACCAGGCACTTTCAGCAGACCTCCCCAACATCTAAACGGCATAATTACCGAAATAAATAAATGGGAAGAGGATTGTACTTTCTACTAAGCAGAGTGCCACTCTTGGAGCAGGACTTTCCAGTTACATCTGTGATACAAGAGATTGTCCTATCCACATTATCAGAGTTTGTGCACAGCACATGGCATAGGCCACAATGTGTTAGAAAGGTAAATTGTTGCTTTACTTTTAAAAGAATTGAGAATATTTCCTGCTAAATCTCAAGAATGATACTTTGGCCACCTAGCACACCTCTGCTACAGAGAGCAATACCAGCTTTTGATGACAAGAGTGTACTAATTTATTCCCTAGTATACATTACATCTATTGATATTTTTGTTGAATACATTATTGAAAAGACAATTTTTTTTCTTGTTCAAGTATATCACATGCATCTGTGGGATTGTTTGGTTAGATCTACAGGTCTATTCACTAAAAGGGCGAAGAGTTTGGAGAAGGCAGGAGAAGTGAACAATCTAGGACAACATAGCTGAACTGGAAAGTGAGCTGAATTGGAGAATTTTTCCAAATCAGTTATTTGGGCCTAGATTGTTTGCTTATCTTGCCTCATCCAAACTCTTCACCCTTTAGTGAATAGACCTGCTAATGTTTGGGTACCAAAATATGTTGAAAAAGTCAACATTTTCTATGGGGTGTACTTGCTTTTTCAAATGTACTGTACATGAGTAGCAGGGACTGATTTTTCTCCTAGCTGCTCATCAGTATGCCTAACAATGGCACATCTACACCAAATATATACAAGAGAAAAAAAAAACCCTCCCATTGTAGTGGAGCTACCCCCACACTGCAAGAGTTAACTGCACATTAATGTCTAGGGGACCCGGATAAAGGACTTTTGCTTACCTTATCCTCTCTCCCCTGACAGTCGATGCTCACGTCCTTTCCGCTACACTCCAGCTTGTGGACCATACATCGGGGTCCTCATGTATAATGCAGGGTTACGGGCCCTGCATTGTACCTGATGACAACAGTGGGCCTCTGACTGCTTGAGTATAAGGGAGAATAATCGGTGGACACTAGTCTTGGAGACTGCAGGAGCATGGATAAAGTAAGTAAAAGTCCTAAACAGATTCCCTAGACATTAACAAGCAGTTAACCCTTGCAATTGCAGGGGGTAGCCCCACTAAACAGGGATCTCCCACCGGAAGAGAGGCTTTAAAGCAGACTATACTTATTTGTTGGGAAACATCTGGCACCTTTCTGGATCTTAAGCTCACCCACAGAGACAAGACCATTACCACCATCACACATTTCAAACCTACTGCTGGCAACTCATATCTACACTATGACAGCTGCCATCACCCCCGATGGAAACAAAATGTCCCAAAAGGACAGTTCTGGAGGTTAAATAAAAATTGCACCCGAAAGGAAGATTACCGCAAACAAAGTATCCATCTAAAAAACAAATTTCTAGAGAAGGGTTACCCCAAAAAGCTAATCAACAGGGCCCAAGAATCCTTCCTAACAGAAAACACTGCACCCAATAGTAAAAACAAAAACAAACACAGGACAGTGCGATAAGGTTCATCACACCTTTTAATAACAAATTCAAAGCCATCGAGTCCATTCAGAGAAAGAATTGGTACTTACTCCAATGTGACCCCAAACTAGGCCCCATACTCCCGCCTAAGCCCACAGTAGTTTTCAAGAAAGCTAAAAGCATCAAAAACATAGTGGCGGCCAGCAAACTCTCCACTAAGAAAAACAAAACAAAAACCTTCTTCTTCAACAATAGAACAGGAGTACATCAATGCAAAAAACTACTCTATTTAACTTGCCAATGTATTACCCATGGCCAAACCTCGTTCCTGGATAGCTCTGGGAACACATTTCCCATACATCAGTTTATCACTTGCGCCCACGACTATGTCGTTTACGGCCTCAGATGCCCTTGTAACCTCCTATACATAGGCCGCACCATCCGCCCCTTACGCAAACGCATAGGAGAGCACAGAAGATTTATTGAGAAAGGAAATACCGAACACAGCGTCCCACATCACTTCCTCCACAAGCATCAGAAAAATATTAAATTCCTACAAGTCTTTGTCATCGAGCAAATCCCAGATCGCCTACCTACAGCAGAAAGATTTCATGAACTATGCAAACAGGAAACATATTGGATATATAAGCTTAATACACTCTCTCCCCACGGCCTCAATGAGGAACTCGAAATCAGCACCATAATTTAATTAGACTACCGCTCTTTAGCAGTCAACTGTAAACCAGCACCCCTGCATAGTAGCATTCAACCTATCTTGAACATACATTCCTGTCCCTTACTGATTCTCCCACGCCCAGCAGTTCTGACACACCATTGGACACACCCCCTACCAAATGGCGTCATAAACCCGCCCGTTCTTAAATCTGCCGCCAGAATCTTTTTTCCCCTCACCCTGGCTTGACTATGTCTTTGAAACGTGTTGCCACGTAACCATAACAACAGGAACTTCCGTCCCACGTCTGGGATGCCTCGCACACCACCTCCGGCCAGACCGGAACTTGTGGCATCTGCGCCCGCCTCAGCACCTGCGCGCACAAACCTACACGTCCCGCCGACATCACCGCTCCACAGTGAAGGAATCTAACCAGCGTCCCCCCATCCATCCTCGGACCAGACGGGACCCCTACGGCACCCACGGACGAGACCACCACCCCTCCAGCTGCCCTTCAGCAAACCGACAGAGCCAGCACACACTTCATTCAACACAGAGGAATCCACAGGAGTGACTGCAATCAACTTTCCACTACAGAGACCCCGACGTCCTCAATAGCCACAATGCCAGCACTTCCTCTCTGCTCCTTCCTTCTCCACAGCCAGTGATGAAATGACTGGAGTCAGAAACTAATGGGATTGGTGACTTCTTTTTACTTCAACACGTGACAGTTCTTGGCCTAGCTATTGGCAGCTAGACCTGAGCACTGTCACGAGGGAGAAGTTCACATACTCCTCTATAACTGGAATTGCTGAGTATTTAGAGGAGGGAAGAGCGGTGCAGAAGCACTGGTAACGCGAGTATAAGGAGGTCAGGCGGGGGCCCTTTGCACAGACACAGGCACTTTGCCCTGAAAACACATATTTCTGCATTCCAATAAATATATAAAAAATAAATAAATAAAACTTGAGTAAATATACAAAATCAATGCTCGTCTTCCAGGCAGTTATACTTAAAGGAGAACTATGGGGTTAAGGCTTTTCCCCATAG